ATCTATTATTTAATTAATATTCAATTAAATTAAATATAGAGTTCGTAGATTCAAATCTTAGTAATTTGTTTATCACAAGAAGTTTTGATTGTGAGATACAAATTACATATAAATGAATATTAAATCATTAGTTACCGTAAGTAAAAATGAGATACATATATTATTATTACGGATAGGCCATCACGTGTGATATTTCTTACTTGTGAAGTAAGTGGTCGATCTCACAAGCTAAAATGTGATGCCACTTAAATAAACACGTGGATGTTTTATTATAAAAGAAAACATTGGAGTCCCGCTAGTGAGATTCCACATGGATAAGTATTTGAGTCTAAGTGATTAATCTCTAACCTTCGGTAATGAAATTTGTCATTTGACTTGAGGTCAACATAGTGCCTTGTATGATGACAGTCATACTTTAGTGATATCGGATGTTGCTCTACCAATAGTCGTTAATACGATATTGTTCGGGTATGTCAACAATCATATATATTAAAATTGTGAATGATCAATAGATGATTCACCGCTCTTAGATAGTAAGAGATTATCATCTACATTTCATTCAGTTAAGTTTATAACGAAATACTTGGCCAATGTATACTCATAAGTCGAAAACTCCTTTTTGACTTACATTGACTTAATAACGGGATGAAAGATATAATCGATAATTGAGATTGACACACATCCATCTCGTAATTGATCGGATCATATTGATGAATGAATTATAGTTTCACGGTAAACGAACAAGTTTGATTTTTTCAGATCACACGTGATATTTCTCATCACATGTATCACCCTGACACATTGCTAGATGTCAATTTGGGACGACAGATGTCAATTGATGATAAATTAAAAATGGGTATTTTAATTTATTGATTTAGATTAGATTAAAATAATAATTCACATCATTTGGCAACGTAATTAAGAATTTAATGGATCACACACATAAGGAAAATCAAAAGAATGAAATTTACCAATTAATTAGTTAACAAGTATTGGACAATTAATTTATTGGGTTACTTGTTAATAGACCCGAATTAATTAATTGGATTAATTAATTTATGGACCAAATTTAATTAATTGGATTAATAAACTATTGAATCGGGTTAAATTTAAGAGTCTGACCAAATCCACTTGAACTTACATTAATAAGTCGTTAGGATTTCAGAAAAAATAGAACGTAACACAATTCATATCCTTGCTAGCACATGAAAAGATAAACCCTAATTCTCTCATTCTTGTTTCATGTGTGGATTTTCATTGGAAGTTGGACAATTGTACTACTGTGGATTGCAGATCATGATTATTTGTGTTTCAAGATCAACAAACGAGTTTACAGAATCTACAAAAGATTTAATTTCTATCACGGTTTCTTTCTAGATAAAAAAAGTATTTGGTGGGAATTGAAATTTGTTTTATGTTCCGATTTACATGTTAAGTAAATTCTCAATAGTGGTATCAGAACATTCTTTGTGTTTGTTAAAAAAATTACATCATATAACAATCAAAAGTTGATTATTGTTATTTTTCATGTTTTTAGCTTTTAAAGAAAAAATGATTTTCTAGTTCTAAATATGATTTAGGAATGAAATTTTGGTCACAAAAAAAGGGATTGGAAACCGGGGTAGGATGTAGCCGGTGGCAAAGACGTGGTGGCGCAGCAGCCCTACTGCCACTCGCGCAGGGGCAATGTGTGCAGCGGCGACTGTCGCCGTATAGATGCAGTCACACTGCTACAAAGGAGCACAGTGGCGAATGCGCATTGCAGTGGCTGAAATATTGCAGCACTCGGCTCGCGACATTACAACCGCAGCCCGCGCATTGTTGCTCAGTGAGGCGCCAGTGATTGTCGGCGCCGCAAGAAGAGAAGGAAGTTATTGGGTGAATGAATTTGGGGACGGGAGGCCGGCGCCGCCAAGGAGAGAAGGAAGCTATTCTAGGATTCAGTTTGGTGAATGAATTTGGGGACGGGGGCCTGTTATGAATGTTTTGAAATTGCAAGCCCCCGCCTGCAATTACAGATTAAGGGTCATTATGCAATTTTAAAATGATGGGTTGCTGTGCAATTTTGATAACCCCATTTTGGGGTTCTATTAAATAATTTGTAAATGGGACAAATTGCAATTTTAAAAATGATTTTTGTATTTGAATATTAAAGTTTTGTTAAATATTCATTTTGATTAGGTTTGACCTAAATTTCAACTTTGACCCACTTAAATTTTATTTCGAGCTTGTTTGAAAGGAATTAAAATCTAATTAAAATTGAAAATATAGTCGTTATTGTGTCTCACTCGTCTAATAAAAGAACAATAACAGTTAGTTTTCAATTTTAATCTCTACCAAACACACTCTTAAAATCGACGACTTTATATTATCGTTAAAATTAGATTTTAACTTAAATATTTAATTTTGACCCTAAATTGAATTTTATTTTATTTAGGAGTTTTATTCTAAATTAAAATTTTAATTCAATTAAATTAGAGTTGGACTCTAATATAATATTTAATTAAAATTTGATTTTAATTAAATT